CTTTATGTTGTTGATCATGAAAATTATCGAGTCCAAAAATATGAAAACCTTTCATTTGCAACATCTTTTTAATTTAATTTGATAAAATTTTGATTTTGATCTTTGAAAATAAATAAAAAAAAAATTAATTTATGAAAAATCTTGAAGAAAATAAATAAAAATAAATAAATTTATTTTTCATTTTTAGAATAAAAGCAAATAGATATTTGTTAATTTTAATTTTAAATTAAAAATCAAAATGAATAAAATAATTCGGATAGAATTTGAAAGAAAATTCAATTAGAAAAAAATTTATTTTTATAGGAAAATCAAATAGAATATTTTTTAAATTGAGAAAAAAACACTTTTTAATAGAAATTTTATTAGATTTATTTTTGTGATGTTATGATTTATTAAGAGAGAGGGAATACAGAAGAAAAAGGATCAATGAATAAAAATGAAATCTGTCAAAATCGAAGAATTATATTAAGAAAATCTTTTTTAAAAGAAAAAATATTTTCACATTTAAATATTAAAAATAATATAAAATAAACAATTAAAATAAAAAATCTCTTAACTAAACAATTATTGAATATTTTTCATTGAAACAAAATAATGAAATTAAATGAATAAATATTCAACTGAAATTCAGTATTTAACAATAGAAAAGAATTCAAATGATTTTATAAAAATATTTTATTTCACTTTTACAATTAATTATTTTATTTCATTCTCAAATGTGAGAACATATTCAATGCAACTTCTTTAGTATTATCAATTTAGTGTTAAATAAACAAACGAATACAGATCACATAAATTAGTTATTTTTTTTCTGATTATTGTTTCTATTAATAAAACATTCGAATTTGATAATTCAATTTATGAACTAAAAAAATTCTTTTTGAATGAACAAGACATCAATGTTGAAATGATGTATCATTGTCTTATAATTTCTTATGAACTATTAGATATGAAAGTTGTTTTATTTGATCCTCTCCATTACGTATTCATTAATAGAATTGATAGAGATGTTATGTTTATTCATATGAATTATTATTCAAATACAAATGAATTCTACTTAATATCATCAAAAAATATATAAATCATTGGATGAATAAGTTGGTTTAACAAATAACTATGGTGAAACATGAAAGTATAATGCAATGAATATCGTTGAAAAAGAGTTTAAATTCTATATGTTAAATATGTTTATCTAATTGCTTTCAAAATATGACACGAAATAATGTATAGATGTAAAATTCAATTGAATTATTGAGAAATGAACCTTGTGCACTAACATTGAAAATTGTATTTTCAATTGATTGACGTAGGCTGGATTTTATATCACAAATTGTTGTTACAGAATAGAATTTATACATTACTGATAGGGCATGAGCAAATAATGAAAGAAGCAACCTATAAAAACAAGAAAATCAATAGAAAGATATTTCTCTTTTGGATTTACTTGAATAACTAATAGTATAATTAACAGTGCATCGCGCTTTTGAGCTGTTCGATTTATATTTGTCAACAATGGTTGAATGTTTGAAGTATTTTTTATGTTTACTGGTTGTTGTTGTTCTGCTTTGAATGAATTAACCGCTGGTAATACCATTGTTGAATCAAATGTATTTGTTTGTTTTATTGGATAAATACGAGAACATTTCGTAAAACTAACGAACCCAACACAGTCATTACTATAACTCGTGTTAAATTTGTAATAGAAATTGTAATAAACTATCCACAATTTGACATGGAATATTTCGTTTTAATTGATAACATGATTGTGGTGCTCGTAATAATTATTGATTAATATCAATACAATAAACTTGCTCTCTAAATGCTAGAAATCCTGCTATGAAAATGATAATAATATAAATATAAGCACGTTTAATTGTTACGAGCTGATGTTTTTTAACATTTGTTTATGAACAAAGGGTGTGGGTGTGAGGCTGTGAATGATAAATGCAACGAATACTCCCCACACTCTCAGCCAACCAAACGAATCTTTTTTCTTTCGTTATTTCATTCCATGTAAGAATATATTTTTGTATACACGTAGGAATTTATTAAGTGTAATGTAAAGAACATATATATTTTATAGAAATGATTGATTTGATTACAGTTCGGGTGTGGGTGGGTGAGAGTTCATCTTTTTTCTTCTTTAATCTGTGTATACCTACACCCTTTACAGTTTTATCATCATAGAATAACAATAAAAAAGGAATTTTCTTTTTATTGTTTTGGAAAATATAATGACGTCAAATGAATACACTGTATATGTGAAATATAAATGTCCTACAATTCTTTAGTTAATAGATCTGTAAGTAATAACGGTGTGATTATTGTTGTTAGTCTCTAGTAGTAAAATTCATCCTA